AAAAGCCAGGTGTGGTGGCTCATGCCTATAATCCTAGCACTTTGGGGGGCAGAGGCAGGTGGATCACAAGGTCAGGAGTTAAAGACCAGCCTGGCCAAGATGGTGAAACCCCGTCTCTCCTAAAAATATAAAAATTAGCTGGGCATAGTGATGGGCACCTGTAATCCCAGCTACATGGGAGACTGAGTCAGGAGAATCACTTGAAGCCCAGAAGGCGGAGGTTGCAGTGAGCCAAGATCACACCACTGCACTCAGCCTGGGCGACAGAGTAAGATTCTGTCTCAAAAAAAAAGCTGCATGCAGTGGCTCAGGCCTGTAATCCCAGCACTTTGGGAGGCCAAGGAGGGCAGATCAGTAGTGGTCAGGGGTTTGAGACCAGCCTGGCCAGCATGGTGAAACCCTGTCTCTACCGCAAAAATACAGAAATAAGCCAGGTGTAGTAGCGTGCACCTGTAGTCGCAGCTACTTGGGATGCTGAGGTGGGAGAATCACTTGAACCAGGGAGGCGTGGAGGCTGCAGTCAGTCGAGATTGTGCCATTGCACTGTAGCCTGAGCAACAGAGCAAGACTGTGTTTCAAAAAAAAAAAAAAAATCATGAATACTTTTTTTCCTACATGTGTTAAAGGAGAATTTTCGTACTATGTTTCCATTTCCTGTTTTTCAGAAAATGCTGCTCAAATTCCAGTGGCTACTCCACAGGTCTCTTCTAACACAGTGAAACGTGCTGGACCTCGATTGTTGTTGATTCCGGTGCAGCAGGGTTCTCCTTCTCTCAGACCTGTCTCAAACACACAACTTCAGGGACATCGGATGGTCTTACAGCCTGTTAGGAGTCCAAGTGGAATGAACCTATTCAGGCACCCTAATGGGCAGATTGTCCAGCTTCTACCTTTGCATCAGCTTCGAGGCTCTAATACTCAGCCCAACTTACAGCCTGTCATGTTTCGGAACCCAGGTATAAACTTCTTTCTTATTAACTTTTCTTTTGTTGCATCAGTTGGCCATATGGTATGTTAATACACCAGTATAGTTTTTCTCGCTTTCTTAGAATTGCTTTTCCAAAAAGAAAAGCAAGCATTGCAAGTCTTGATATCGGCAGTTGTGATTTAAAAATTTCTCTCTTATTTTTTAAACTAGGGTCTGTAATGGGAATCCGGTTACCTGCTCCTTCCAAACCCTCTGAGACTCCACCGTCTTCCACTTCATCCTCTGCTTTCTCTGTCATGAATCCTGTAATCCAAGCTGTTGGGTCTTCAGCAGTAAATGTTATCACTCAGGCACCATCATTGCTTTCCTCTGGAGCTAGTTTTGTGTCTCAAGCTGGTACATTGACCCTGAGGATTTCTGCTCCTGAACCACAAAGCTTTGCAAGTAAAACAGGCTCTGAAACCAAAATAACGTATAGCTCAGGAGGACAGCCTGTTGGTACAGCCAGTCTTATTCCTCTCCAGTCTGGTAGTTTTGCCTTGTTACAGCTCCCAGGACAAAAGCCTGTTCCTAGCTCCATTCTTCAACATGTTGCTTCCCTTCAGATGAAGAGAGACTCTCAGAATCCAGACCAGAAAGATGGAAAAAACTCAATAAAAAGAGAGCAAGAAACCAAGAAGGTTCTACAGTCAGAAGGACAGGCTGTAGACCCTGAGGCTAATACAATAAAACAAAACTCAGGAGCTGCTACCTCAGAAGAAACTCTGAATGATTCCTTGGAAGACAGGAGTGATCATTTGGATGAAGAATCCCTTCGAGAAGAAGGTTCTGCAACTGTCAAACCATCTAAGCATTCCTGTATCACTGGGTCACATATAGATGAAAACTATAAAGATGTTAATGAAGAATGTGGGGCTAGGAATCATAATAGTTCCAAAGAAAAAGTGGCTGTTCTAGAAGTTAGGGCCATTTCTGAAAAAGCCAGTAATAAGACAGTTCAAAATATGAGTAAAGTACAGTATCAAAAACTTGGTGATAGGAAGGTGGAACAGCAGAAAGGATCAGACAATCCAGAAGAAAACTCAAATGAATTTCCAGACGTCTCTAAGGAAGAAAGTAAATTTGAATTGTCAGGGAGCAAAGATGTGGAGCAGCAATCTCATCCACAGCCAGAGGCCACAGAGAAGGAATGTGGAGACTCTATGGAGAAAGACAGTATTAGGGAAAGGTGGAGAAGACATCTGAAGGGCCCCTTAACCAGGAAATGTGTTGGAGCTTCACAGGAATGTAAGAAAGAGGCAGATGAGCAGTTAATTAAAGAAACAAAGACATGTCAGGAAAATTCAGATGTGTTTCAACAACAACAACAAAGCATCTCTGACTTACTTGGAAAAAGGGGAATCACTGAAGATGCCAGAGTTTTGAAAACTGAGTGTGATTCTTGGAGTAGGATTTCTAGTCCTTCAGCCTTCTCCATTGTTCCTAGGAGAGCTGCAAAAAGCAGCAGAGGGAATGGACATTTTCAGGGTCATTTACTGCTAACTGGAGAACAGATACAACCAAAGCAAAAGAAGAAGGTTGGGAGAAGCAGTGCTGACCTCACTGTTTTGGATTTGGAAGAGGATGAAGATGAGAATGAGAAAACCGATGATTCTATTGATGAAATTGTGGATGTTGTTTCTGACTACCAGAGTGAGGAGGTTGATGATATAGAAAAGGTGGTGAGCCTATTTTTCTTGTGACTAAAACCTAAAGGATGTAAATGATTTATTAGAGACAGTAGCTTTTTCAGAAGATCACTAAGATATAATACATTTAATTGGTTGCCTAGGTTTAGATTATGACTTAAATGGCTTAGTAGTTTTTAGGTTGTGTCAGTCAAGCAACATTTATTAAGCTTATATTATTCTTTGAGACTTGTCTGGTTTTATGGGAAGGCTGCCTTAAGCCTTTGGGGGATAGGTGCTTGAGAGTTCCTACCAAGTTGGATTTTTAAAATCCTGAAACCACTACTCTCATTTGAGCTCAGTCAATTTCTGCGACGTCTTCTATGTGAGGTGGTTGTAGCTTCTCTGGTAAATGTTAATCAGAAACTGGGAGTAGGTGACCTTAGAACTTACTCACTTGCATTTGGAGAGGTGTTTTTGTATTTGGAGAAAAACTGGAAAGTACCATCTAATATTCTGATATCATCTTGCCTTGAGTTGCTTTTATTTCCAAAAATTAAATAGTCTCCAGAATTTATATTCTAGACTTTGGTCATCATCCTTGTAATATGCCCTTTGTGGCCTATTTTTATTATTTTCCCGAAGTGTTTTGATAGGATTCCTATTTAGGGTTGTTGTATTTACTAAACTAAGTAACTGTCAGATATTGATATAGTGCAGAAGTTGGACAAACTTTTTCTCTAAAGGGCCGGATAGTAAATAGTTTTAGACTTTGCGGAGAGCCAGATGGCTACCTGTTGCAACTGCTTGACTGCTGTTGTAGTATAGAAGCAGCTATATTCCCTTAAAACTTTATTTTAAAAAGGCCAGGTATAGTGTCTCACGCCTGTATTCCAGCACTTTGGGAGGCCTAGGCGGGTGGATCACCTGACGTCAGGAGTTCAAGACCAGCCTGACCATCATGGTGAAACCCCATCTCTGCTAAAAATACAAAAAATTAGCCGGGTATGGTGGCGGGTGCCTGTAATCCCAGTACTCAGGAGGCTGAGGCAGGAGAATCACTTGAACCTGGGAGGCGGAGGTTGCAGTCAGCTGAGCTCACGCCATTGCACTCCAGCCTGGGCTACATTAGCAAAACTCCATCTCAAAAAAACAAAACTTTATTTAAAAAAAAAAAGTTACTGTGCTGTGGTTTGCTTACGCCTGACGTAAGATCTGATGTAAAACATAGGGATATCATAGCCAGCTGCCTGTGGAGTGCCCTAAAATCTAAACGGTATTCTTCTCTTCAGGAGCAGATGACAGCCATCTGCACTAATTGTCATACAACTGCTTGTTTTAGAATCGCACTTCCTTGAGATTCATTCTGCCTCTCTGTTATCTGGTTCTTTTCTGTTAGTGCTCAACTGCTTTTTGCACATAAAATATAACGAAAATATTATTATTTTAAAAAT